TATGCGAAGCATATGCGATGCGAAAAAATGGTTGATTATGCGCATAACGCCGCATCGCATAATCCTGGACACCCTAGCACAGATTACAAATTCGCAATTTAGTCACCTGATATGAAAAATCGATTAGTTGCAACTATAATCGATTGGCAAAATTTTTACCAACTAGGAACACTACCAGGAAGTTTTCAAGGTAGGTTACTTATTGGCGATAAGCGATTATACTTTTCTGGGACCTAAATTATCTTAGGACCGATTAGGACTGATTAGGACTGATTTGGACCGATTAACAGCCCCTAATTATACCAAAATTTTGCGGGGAATTTTTGTTTGTTATATAGTACACAAAAGGTGATTTCTTAGGCTAAATTTTGAAATTAATGTGACTTTTCAGAAAAGAGCGATTATTTTTTTTTTTGATTAGAGGTGCAGATGAATTGTCCCAATGATGCCGTAACTATATCGATATTAAATAATTATAAAAAGTTACGGCAAATGTGCCGTAACTTTTTAATATCATTTGGAGATTCTATTCTTGATTGGCCAATATCAAATCACGTTATTAAGGATCGTCGATTTCGTCCAATTAAAAAAATGCTTTTTTTTATTAAATATAAGACGATAAGATATATAGATACAGTAAATCTTAATAAGAAAATACATTGTTGCCGAAGCCCACCTTCCCAAAATGCTATTTCTCCGACCCCGTAATTCCGATATCCCTTTTTCTCGACAAAACCCAGATCATAGTCTATAATATAATCTACACTGATAGTGAGATAGTTTAAGGAATAATATTAAAATTTGATTAAATTATGATTTTTATTATATTCACAATAAAAACTCGCTCGCTCTATATTTTGGAAATTCGTTATTATACGTGCTATATCCGTACGCTACTAATTATAGTATACGGGGTATTATAGGTACGTACGTACGTACAAGAAATCGAATAGTACCTACCCGAATACTAATTACGCCGAATACTAATTACGGGATACAAATAACGGGATACAAATCGCGGAGGAAGTTACTATTCCCTTATACTGTCCCACTAATCATATTTACTATCCCTTATACCGTCCCACTATCATATTCACTGTCGTAGTATAGCTTAAAATAGACCACGATCGAGTATAGATTGATATAGATGAATAATGATAATTTGCAGGTAAATTTGCCTGCAGAATGGTGTAAGGGGATACTTTGCATACGTAGTTTCAATATTAGTTCAATAAGGATTAAGTTTTTTAAGTAATATCCGTCTTTTTCAATTTGCTAAATTTACTAAATGATTTGAATTATATGAAGAAATTATAGTGGGGTAATTTGGTCAGTTATGTACGGTATTTTTTTTTTATACACTTTACGTATGCGTACGTACGTAATAATTTTGCTTACCTCTTACAATGAGTCATAAACGTTATTACATGTGTCATGAACATAACAAAAATGTACATAGTGAAACGAGCACGATTTAGTTCATACGTGTGATCAAAAAGTTTAGACAATAAAGAAAAAAAAACAAATGGATATTTATCGTTACCTATTAAGAATGTACAACTGCATATATTGACATCGATTCATATGTATTTATGTATGTACGTCATGTGTATAATGATGAAGTGAAATCTTCCTACATTAGTATAAGTTGGCGTGTTTGATCAGATTAAAAATTCGCAATTAAAATTGCGATATAATTTTAGTTTCCATAAAAGTTTGATCCTGTTCCGCCTTATTTCTATGTAGAAAACGCGACAATTGCCTTAATTATAAAAGAAAGAATATCTTTATTCACGTTATGTTAGTAATGCGGTGTAACTTATTGTACGATGTTATAGTTTCAAAGAGAGTCTATTTTTTAAAAGGTATTGTTATTACGTAGACTAACGATAAATGAATTAAATTAAGATGGTGTAATATATAAAAAAGGATTGCAAAATTATGGTTTATCTTCGATTCTTTAATTATCCCCTAAAATTACAGAATTAAGTATTCCAAAAACAACTTTTTATTTTTTTTTGTCGCGAATAGCACAAAAATGGTGCAATTGATATGTCAATGAAAATATGTATCACAATGAGTCAAAAAAGTTATTTGATCTTCATATGTATACATATGTATACGCAAAATCTAAAATTTTGCTGCACAATCATATTAATAATGATAATAATGATCATCTACTTGTTTTTTTTTTGTAAAGTCTTTCTTTTTCATTAACGTTAATAAAAAAAAAAAAAAAATGCAAGATAAATTCACCCCCTCGTATTTTGAACAAGAAACCGAACCCGTGGTGAATTTTTTTAATTCATCTGAAAACGACAATACAGATACAGGAAAAAACCGTAAATATTGTTTGCGTCACCGCCCTGATCTCAAAAAAATGAAAGAAACCACACTCGAAGACTTACGAAAGGTACTCGTTTTTAAAAGGTTATTCTTAATATTTAACCCTATATTTAACCCTATCTTACCTTTCTTTTATTTTTCTTTTATTTATCAATGAACTGAATATCTTATAGCAAGTTGAAAATTTACCTGAAGCTGAACATGAAAAGATTATAAAGATTTGGTCGCTTTTTTCAACCGCGACTCCATCCTGTCGTCACCTTATTCTAGAAGGAATTCTAGTCCAGTGTTGTCTTCCTCAACTATCCTTTCTTTCTAACAGACTTAAAAACATTATTCGTATTGACTTTATAGCCGCCCTTCCCAAAGAGCTTTCCATACATATATTATCATATCTTGATGCAATTTCTTTATGTCGCGCTGCTCAAGTATGTAAATTATGGAGACGTCTTGCTGATGATGAGGTTGTTTGGCACAAATTATGCGAACAACATATTGACAAAAAATGTTCCAAATGTGGTTGGGGTATTCCATCATTGTTAGAACAAAAGAGAATAAATAGGGCACTATTATCTAATGAAAGTGATCCTTATCCTGCTTATGTAACTACTACTTGTAGTTCAACATCTCTTGACATTCCATATTCTCACATTGAACAATCACAACCATCATCTCCATCAACTATACCTTCAACTCCAAATACTCCAAATTATGATTCACAAGATGAAGCTCTTGAAATAAGACGTGTTCGCATTTCTGATAAATTAACGGCTTTATTTGGTGATTCATCTCTATTTATGTGTGAAAATTCTATGAGAAGACCTTGGAAAGAAGTTTATGCTGAACGACAATGCGTCGAATTCAATTGGAGAAAGGGTCGTTATAATATTAGAGTTTTAAAAGGCCATACTGATGGTATAATGTGTCTTCAATTCGATGATCGTAATAATCGTCTTATCACTGGTTCTTATGATAATACTGTCAAAGTTTGGGATCTTGAGACTGGTGAAGTCATTAGTACGCTGACTGGTCATACACGGTGTGTAAGAGCATTACAATTTGACCGTGCAAAACTCATTACTGGTTCAATGGATCACACTTTAAGGGTATGGAATTATCATACCGGTAAATGTATTACTAAACTTGAAGGGCATACAGGTGGAATTTTAACTCTTCATTTCGTTGATTATATTGTTGCGAGTGGTTCCACTGATACCACCATAAAGATTTGGGACTTTTCTTCTCGCAAATGTTTTACTCTGACTGGGCATAGAGAGTGGGTAAATAAAGTTATAATTTTTCAAAAGCTACAACTCCTCTCTTGTTCTGATGATCATACTATACGGATTTGGGATTTGACTTCACAATCATGTACTCGAATTTTTGATGGCCATAATGCACCGGTTCAGTGTATTCAACCAACACTTTTGCGCATGGACTTGAATGCGACCTTAACTACCATTGATGAGGATAATTTAATTCCTGTAATAATATCAAGTTCTTTAGATAATGTAATTAAAGTTTGGTCTCTACAAACTGGTGAATGCATTCGTACCTTATTTGGTCATGAAGAAGGCGTCTGGTCGTTGGCAGTTGACAAGCTTAGATTAGTTAGTGGTGCACAAGACGGTACAGTAAAGATTTGGGATAAGGATTCAGGAAATTGTATGCATACTTTAACTGGACATTGTGGCGCTGTTACGTGCGTTGCATTGGGTGACACCAAGGTCATTACAGGAGGTGATGATTCGGAAATTAGAATATGGGATTTTAAGGGTCAATAATTAATAATAATTATTTATTTGTCGATTTTGAAAAAAAAGAGACATGTAGAGTCTTTCTTATAACAAATATAAAAACACATACCCCCGATAATTAGAGTACCGAACATTTTATGTTTATTAAAGATAGAATTGGGTAAAAAGCTATTGTTTTATTTCTATTTTTTATTTCTATTTTTTTTTTCTATTTTTTTTTTTTTTTTGTTTTTTGAAAGTATTATAT